TAAATAAATTAAAATATTAAAAAAAAGAAAAAAAGAAAGTCCCTACCACACAATCACTAGGCAGAGGGCAAATATTTGCACAACACCTAGAGCAGAGTTTTCTATTAACAAGCCCTATTGTGAGCCACCATTATTTCCGCCTCTGTCCTTTCTCTTCTATCTGCTCTTCTTCTCAGGTTCAGTCTCGAGCTAGCCACCGTAGTCCAGAATGCTGTTTCTTCTGGATGACACACTTTCCAGATGTTTCTCTTTTGTTCGGTTACTTCCCTTTTCTCTTACATCTCAAAATCTCAAAATTCTCCCTAATCTTCATTCAACTATTAACCTTCAACCTCTCCTACAAGTTCTCAGGAACAGATGTCTGTGAGTCTCAGTGGAGCACACTATCAAATCATGACCAACGTATACCTCACATAGCTAAGCTGGAAACAAGACCAATGGCTATGGGGTTAATAAATTAAAAAACAGTCCTGCCTGCTGATGCCACAAAAAGAAAACATACTATGCATTACTAAGTGAACAAACAACAACAACATGAACTAGATAGAAAAGAAAGTAATAGATAATTTCTCAAGGGTCCAATCTACTTTTTGCAGTTTATTACCATCTTTTCCCCAATGTCCTTAAAAATGGCTCGCTTGGCTTTAGGACTTTTAATGACAGAATGATAATGAATTCTTGAAATGTTGTTATGCTTCATTGGCCTAGAAAGGAAAAAAAAATTTATTCTGTATTATCATTAAAAGCGCTCTTTACTGGACCTTGAAATAAAAACAGCATTGTTATGTATGTCATTCTTAGAAATTCAGTAAGCAATATTTATGCCTCTATTTTTCACTTCAGAAAGGAAATAGAATCATATTTAAAGCCAGTCTTTTGTGAAGTACGTGGAAAGGAGAAGGTGGCCTATGAAAGTTTTGAAAGTGAAATGGTGATAGAAAATATGCTGAACAGTAAAATCTAGGAACCTGAGTGAAGTTATACAAGGTAAAATTCTAGGTACAGAACACTGAGAAAAAAGTAGGAGGCTAGATTTTTGTATCTAAGTGCCTTATATATTTAGTGTTAAACTTAAAACTTTGATGCAAGATAGTGGATAGGAGTGGAGGGATAGCAGAGTAAAAAAGGGAAGAGGAATGTGAAACAGTAACTAAGTTAGATAAGCCTTGACTGATTTCTTATTTTTTTTCCCAATAAAACTTTTTAATTGTGATTTTAACAAAAGTTTACAGAAATGTTAGATTTTCATTCATTCACTGTTGCACATTTTTACCCCCTCTTCCTTCCTTCTTTCCCCTGTTCCTAGTTCACTTGTTTTTTAAAAATATTAATTTTCTTACATGACAGACTCTGTGGCTTCATGACTGGGCTTAGGCAGGGGTTTCTCAGTTTCAGACTGTGCTTCCAGTTCTAATGAAACAACTTCAACCTCACAATCTGAACATGCACCTTCCATTTTCCTCTTTTTAGAAAATATATTTTCCGTGGTATCCTGCTTTCTCCCATTTTCTCCAGTCGCAACCAGTTTCTCAGTGTTAGCTCTGCTTAGTAATCTCCCTAAAAGGGGGGAAAAAAGTGACCAAAAGATATTATGATTGCTAAGCATCAAAAGGGTATTTTTATTTCTGCCTTGTAACTGCAGAACCCTGTGCTTTGTACTTTAGTCCTAAAATGAATACAAACATCTTAGAGCTCAGAAGTAGTGGTAAGGAACTGCGCTGCCAACCCAAAGGCATAGGGTTCAAATCTACCAGCTGTTCCAAGGGAGAAAGACAGGCAGTCTCCCCTGGTGTGATTTATAGTCTCTGAAAATCTGGCATGTCATCTATCCTAGAGAACAGCTGCAAGGGGAAAAAAAAGTCCAGTGAGGGATTTATTTCATGTTTTCCAGTACATGAAAAAAAAAAATTCGGGACACCTAACAGAAGTACTTCTCTCTTTCGGTATCACAGGAAATAAATTCTCTAAAACAAGTAAACTCAAGTGGTGTAGTTCATAGGGAACTGTGCTGCTAAGCCAATGGGGAGGTCTCTCTGATGGTTTCAATTCACTAGCATAGCAGCTCTGAGGGAGAAAGATGGGCAGGCTCCTCCCATGTGATGTACAGCTTCCCAAAATTGTGCCAGAGGGTCAGTCAGCTGTGAGTCACTTCTGACTTGACAGCAGAGAGTGAATTTTGAGACACAGGATCAGAAAGCAATCTAGAAAATTAGAGTGCTATACTCTAGTCTTTATTAAAATAAAGCTTTTAGGGAACTCTTGTGGCCTAGTGGCAAGAAGCTGTGCTGTAATCCTGAAGGTTCATGGTTTGAACCCATCAGATGCTCCACTGGAGAGGGAGGGACAATCTCTTCCTATGCCAGTCCGATTCAATTTGACGGTACACAACAAGGGGCAAAAAACCAAAAAACTTGTGTGTCTAGTTAAAAATGCTTTATCACTGAAACTCATACTTTAATAATATACTATATAATATATTAAATAACATTTAATTAAAATTAAAAATTATAATATATATTAAATAATAAACTATTTAAATTTGGGAAAATATGTGCTTATTGCTCTCCCTGTAAATCCCAGAGCAGTATTAAAAGCTTTGCTTAAAGTTCATGCATTTTCTTTAAAGGAATTAAAAATTATAGTTGTTGTTAGATACCACTGAGACAGCTCTCACTCTATGTACAATAGAATAAAACATTGACCAGCCCTGTACCATTAGTCAAACAACCCTTGCTATCCATACTTGTTGTTCGGTGCGGTTGAGTTAACAAAGATTCATAGTGACCCTCTGACCAACAGACTGAAACACTGGCCCATCCTGAGCCATCTTCTTGATCTCTGCCATATGCGAGCCCACTGTTCCAGTCATAACTCAAAATCAGTGGCTGAACACTCATTAGATGCATTTGTTAGCATTTTATAGGCAGCTGGTATTATCTAAGTTTTACTTTGTGAACTATCAGAAGTGTCCATACTTGGAGAGGAGTTTAAAAGCTTACAGGTGAGAAGACCTAGGGGGCAGTACTACCCTGTAATGTGTCATAATCGCCATCACCACTGACAGGACCCAACAACAAAGTGTTATGTGACAGGGAGTCACATGTTAATACCCTGTACTCTGATACGTCTCAGAGCTGCTGCTTGCCCTTGGTGACTCAGTCTAATATAGGCCTTTTCAACTGGCTCCTAAGCCACATTTCCCATCCTGTTTTACATCATGATACACACCAACATGAGGATGCGTGCATGTAACTCTGGGGTCAATGGCCAAGATGTCCGGAGACCTAACTATCGCCCTGGGGCTCCTCCTCTGACAGAAGCAGTAATGCACAGCCGTAACACACTTCGTAACAAATCCTCAAAGCATCATCTTACCCAGTAGGGATTTGTCTCTAGTCATTCATCTTTATATGCAGTGGTTCCTATGTTACTTGACGGGGAACAAGGTTTCTTTTCTCATCCTACACCGGCTGCTGAAGACATGCACATTTTGTTTTAAAGGGTTAGAAACCTTTGCTCTAGATCAGTGACTCTCTAGAGTTTCTGAAATGGAGCGAATTATCTTCTTTCACTAACTGAGTTGTCATATGCAGATATTTAGAACAAAATTAACTTCTGAAATTACAATAATAGCTCAAAACATTTAACAGGATAGTCTGATTACTGGTTATCGTTACCTTGGCAAGTGGGTTACTAAGTTCTCATATTAAGTCATCCATTGCCTCAAAGCATCTGTAATCACGAGACAAAATGATGTGACTTGTACATAACAAGGGTGGCTCAGTGGTGGATAACATGTTATGATGTCAACATGTTGGCAGTTTTGTGTCCAGCAGACACTCCGATAGGTAGTCTCTTCCCGTGAAGATTTACAGTCTCAGAACCTATCACTATAATATGAACTGGACTGGACAGCAGTGGGTTTTGTACACAACAACCCAGGTCATATCTCTACGTCTTTCTTTTCTGGTCCATTTGATAGCTCCTAAAGATCCCATCCTTTCATTGCTCAAGTTCTCAGTCTCTTGCTTTCCTCTGATGTCCTAGATCTTACTGCTTTTGTCCTTGCACTGAGATTTCAATGGCCATAACTAGTAAAATGGGAATACAGATATGCAGATTTGAGCCGACTGGTAGCATCAGGGTGGATGGTGAAGAGATTGAGATTGTTAACAGCTTCAGCTTGCTCCACAATCAACACTCTTGGCACCAGCAGGACATTAATTAAAAGATGTATTGTGCTGGGAAAGTCTGCTGTCAGAGACCTCTCCAGAATACTGAAGAGCAATGATGTCAGTATGGAGACTTAGGTGCACCTGATACAGGCCATGGTCTCTGCAATCACTTGCTAGGCATCAGAGAGCTGGACAATGACTAGGGATAATAGAAAGAGAACTGATGTTTTTGAGCTGTGGTGTTGGAGAAGATTGTTGAATATACCTTGGACTGCTACGAGAACGAACAGGTTCATCCTGGAGAGGGTTAAACCAGGCTGCTTCTTGGAGTCAAGGATTCTGAAGCTTCATCTGACATATTTTGGACATGTTGCAAGGGGGGACCAGTCCTTGGAGAGGATGTCATGCTTGGGAGGAAGGGCAGCGCAGGAGAGAAAGATCCTTGTTGAGACAGACTGATTCAGTGACTGGGGTAATGGAGGTAGGTGTGTTAAAAACAGTAAGATTGGCACAGGATAGAGCCAAGCTTAGGGTTACTGTACATAGGGTCGCAGCTGACTCAATAGCACATAACAACAGCAACAACAAGTACAGAATGATCTGAAAACAAGTCTCTGCCTTACCTGAGTAAATGCAAATAAATGTCCCCCTGTCAATGTCATCCAGGCAGCGCACGCCCCATCCCTTCTTCTCGGTTTTAAACACCTGAAGCCTCACTTGTGGGCCATGCTGGACAACTCGGTTCTGACACATCTGCCGGTTACATTTGCACAACAGGCTGCACTCATAAATGCTGTTAGATAAGCAGAAGAGAAACTCAGTGAGGCCCAGCTAGAGCAAAGATGGTTTATATGTCCGCGACAGTGGGAGGGGGACGAGGTCTGAAGGTTCCTAGGGGCGAACGGACTGGGTTCTTATCACTCCAGCTTTGATAGCTGTGTGATTGTAGATGAATTACACACCCTTCCTGTGCTTCAATGTCCCATCCTTAAAATGGGGATCATACAGTGGAAGGTAGCAGATGTGGTAGGTACTGTTGGGGGGGGGTTGTAAAGATTAATTTAGTCAGTATTTACAAAGTACTTGCGGCAATGTTGGCTGTTTTAAAAGGGCAACACTTAGGTAAGAAAGTATTTCTTTCTAAAGGTATGATTATTTGTTAATAACAACCTAGAAAGCCTGAAAACCCCCAATTCCCAGTATATTTCTCATTAGGACAAAGCTGCTAAACTGGGCTACTTCCACCCCGTAGGGTTAGGAGCCAGACTCAAAGCAGACGACTGTTTGAGTCTCTTCTGAATGCTCTCTGGTTTTGACAGCTGTTTCCAAGAAAGATTTGGTTTTCTTTTTTTAAATTCCTTAATAATTTTGAGTTTTAGGATTAGAAATTGTGGTTTAATACCAACTTTCAGACTGCAGGCTACAGTGGAAAAGTACCCACCCTCAAAGAGACCAATACCCTGCAGAAAATCCTCAGGCATCTTACCCAGTCGGTATCTGTCTCAGTAGTCTTTTATACTTATATCCAGTGGTTACTGTATTACTTGACAAGGGACAGGTCTCTGCATTCTTTGCTGTTAGCTGAAGACATGCACATTTTGTTCTAGAAGAAAAAGCAATGGAAGTGTTGGCATAAAATAAGCACCAGGTTAAGCAGAAAGACTGTCTCGATGGAAGTGTAAATGGAGTGGAGCAAGTGTATTTAGAACAGCAGTGTGGCTCACGTAGGACCATCTTCCCTAAACAGAACGCCACCCCTGAAATAGAAAGACACAATTTCCAAAGTTTAAGTATAAATAGTACTATCCTCTTTGTTCATAAGTTCTTAACTATAGGATTTTTCTTCAAATTTAAAAATTTTTCTACACAAGAGAATTTGCTTTTGAAGCTTCTTCTAGTTGAGCTTTCTTCGAGGGGATAAACCCGAGTGCATCAAACTTGCCAGGGTTCCACCGACTCTCTAACAAACTGGGGGCAGTGATGCCAGCACTCTGCCTATCGGGACCCACTGTTCCTATTGTTGCTAGTGATACGACTTATACCCATAAATTCAGTCTGTGTCTTTACTTCTACATAAATTAGGTAATTGTCTAACTAGACAGAAATGAGTATGGTGACGGGGAGTAAGGAGTCTGGGTTTCTCAGCTATAAACTCAGTATGTGAACTTCTGGTGAGCTAGCTGCTATCTCTGGCCTTGTTTCCTTTACTGAACAATGGACTTTAAATTCTTTTCCTCTATGATTTTCTTTTGCTTTTTGTTATGTGTGTAAGTGTATGTGTATGCCATGGAGCAGTGGCTATTATTTGTAATATGGGGAGTAATCAATAAACTCATTAATTTATACTGTTTACAGATATAAAAAATCTGTAGTTTTTCCCCCATACAATTTTATTTGCAAAATTCAATAGTACAGGAAAAGAAAGTATTAAAAAGATACCTCTACTTCTGCCGATCTAGCATTCTTTTTTTTTCCCCACCCTACCTTCAGCAGTCTTAATGTTATGTACTTGGGTATGCTCTGTCCTCCTTCAATTAAAAAATACTAGTTAAAAAATGTTAAGCTAATTTTTGATCCCACCAAACCTGTAACTTGGAAACTAATCTTTGATTCTAGATAAATTTGCAAGTCCTGTTGCTGAGAAGTAGATATCCATGTCTTCAATTCCTGTTTAATAGTTTGTATAAGTCAACTCCCCTAAATGATTGTCTGGTGAAAATTCTAGTTTACACTTATTTTCATTCAGCACTTTAAGCTTTATTTTTTCCTTATTACTTCTGATACAAAAATATGTCATCAATCTGTTTTTTGCCTTGTAAGAAATCTATCTTTTCCATCTAGCAGCTTTTAAAAGTTACTCTTTATCTTAAATATTTTTCAAGTTGCATCATAATATACTTAAGTGTGCATATATGCTAGTTAACCTTCTTTATAGACAGTAAGATTTTTCAATCTAAGCCCTCATGTCCTTCTCTCTAACCCTAAGGGTTTCAGAGCTCTGAGGCAGTGTTAAATTCATACAGTTCCAGGGCTAGTTCCCAGTTGTGGGCTTCTAGCCCCCGGAAAACCTAGTTTCTACTCTCTGCTATCCTCGTATATGCTTAATTCCTATCCCTGTAAGGATTAGAATCCCTGGATACATAGCTCATGTCCATGTCCAGATTCCAGTGGATTCCATTCAGCCTTTGCTTACTTTTGTGATTTCCAGCATAATTTCTGACCCATGAGTGGAAACACCTACATTGTAATTGTATGTTATATGAAGGTTAGTGTCTAGAGTCTAAAGAAAAAAAAAAAGTGTAATCTAAATTACTTCTTTAAAAAGTTCCTTAAAACTGCCCATAATAAACAAAATGACTCACTGTCATCAAGTGGCTTCTGACTCACAGTAACCCAGGTGGACAGAGCAGTACCGCCCATAGTGTTCCCAGGGCCATGAATCTTTATGGATGCTTTGCCTCATTTTTCTGTCTGGAGCAGGTGATAGCTTTGAACCACTAGCATTTTGGGTAGCAGCTGCATGCCTAACAGAAGCACCAGCACAGGTCCTTAAACTAATCATAAAGCACATTTCAACAGACAATTTCCCCCTCTACCTCTACAAGAGGGGGCACAGCCAAATGAGGTAGTTGGTTAACTTTTACTTAGAGGCAATTTTTTTAAAAAAACAAATTGATTCTAAACAGCATTTGCATAGTAAGATGCTTCTTCTCAGAGAGGCCTAAATCTGAGATGATGAAGAGAACTGAAATAATTTATACTGTATCACTGAATTATTTATACTGCTTAAATTCTCTCAGTTTTATTTACTCAGTACTAAGTAGCTGAGTCTGCACTAACTAAAAAATAAAATACTGCAGTTCCACTCTCTATATGCATACCCTACAAATATATGTGATGTTTACATTCTACAAGCAAAATGAGGCAGAATAAAGGAGTTAATATTTTCATTTTTGTCACAGAATTTCAATACTATAGCCAAAAAAGTATTAGCTATAAACACTATGAACTTTTTAGAAAATTATCTGTGAATTGTTTAAACATTACTTGTAAATATGAAGTAGACGAAAATAATAGAGTGGTTAACAGTATGGGAGGAAATCTCATGTGTTTTCCCTGGACATTGGGCTTCTTCAATCTCAACCTCCTCGTCTGTAACATGGAGATATCAGCTTCACGGGTTTGAGAGGATTAACTAAGAAAAGCTGTATAACGCACTTACTGTACAGCATTGCAGTTGTACATGCTCAAGAAATAGTATTCAACGAGCCCAGATTAAAGGCATTCGTTATCCTTGTTGCTGCTGCTGGGTGCCCTTAAGTCAAATATACCTCACAGTGACCCTGTGAACATCAGATCTGAACCCTGCCCTATCCTGTGTTGTTCTCATCTCTACACTAGAGCCCACTGTTTCAGTCACTGTGTCAATGCATCTGGTTTAGGGTCTTCCTCGCCTCTGCTGACCTCCCACTTTTCAGATCTTTAGAAAAATAAAATTTTCAAATTAGCATATCTGTTGAAGTTTTCTCTTCCACGACTATGAAAACAGTGGTCCCCCCTCCCCAATTTTAGAATCTTAGATGATAGGTTTTAGATAGACAGGCTGACACACAGCAGGATTTCCTCACAAGTATCCCTGCGTTAAGGAGATGCCTTCTAATGGCACGTTTTCTTACTCACATGTCTATGCAGCCCTCTGAACAGTCACATGAATCAGTAATCATGTTGGAAAAGTTGTTGAGATAATATGTGCGAGGCCACAGAGTCTTTCTGTACTTAAAATAAGGAAGCTTTCTACTGTCAATTTCGTTACAGAAAGAAATGGGCACTGATTCCACACCACTGCTGATGTCCGCTTCAGAAACAATTTCTTCCTGCTTTGGGTAATTCCGAGTCAACTGAACATAGGTGTTGAAAGAAAAATTATCTGTAAACAGAAAGTTGCACTCTGTCTCAATCAGGTAACGGAAAACTTCCTTCACGTTTCGTAGACTCCTTCCACAAGGGGTTCTGTAACTCACATGGAGCGCTGACGAGTGAGAGTTTGTCTTGGAGTGTCGTCGCTGGAAGTGGCATTGGGTTGGCAGTTGCAGAGGGTTTTCTCCCTTGAAGGTGAGGGGCATTTTTATCAGACAGGCACCAGAGCAGGCATGACTTTTGTAGGATGAAGCCAATGATGGTTTTCTTTTTTGTAAATCGGTAACTTTATTTTCCAAAGGGAGAGTTTCCTTATTGTCTGCAGATCTGGAAAATGGAATTATTCATTAGTCTTCACATTTTGTGTTAGGGCTCACTCTTAAAAAAAACCCACAGAATGTTAAGATAGATATCTGCTTTTATTATCTTCATTTTGGATAATTCTAAAAAGCCAAGACTCTGAAAAATACACTTTACTGGATTCTGCAGTCAGATAAAGGATGTACCTAATTGCTGAGTAAATACTCCAGAAGGTTGTAGTTACAGCTGTAACTTTTTGGATAGATGCTTTATGGCATCTAGTAAATTTAGAGCTCATTTAGAACAGACAATAATGAGCTGAGCAGCTATGTTGTCCAGCATGCTAGGTCCTAGTGCTTTTGACTGCAAAACAAACAAATAGACAGACATTAAAGCCTAGCCAAAATCCAATCAATTCAGCAAGATCTTTCAGACTATTTGTTTCCCTTCAAATTATTTCCCCCCATGCTATGTATCCCACTTGGCAATAACATGAAAACTCAGAAAAGAATGACAATAGAAAATGTGCTGGCAGTTATGAAAGAAATAAGCATAAAGTGACACCGCATGCTTAGAAATCAGATCTTAAACTTTTGCAAAGAAATTTTCATTTTATCTAATATTTTGTAGCACTGTCTATTAACTTTTTACAAGTCACTTTAGAGATATTTTTATGCACACTCTATAAAGTGATGCTATGAGAACTTCTTGTATAAGATATAAAGCATCTGTATCTGTGATGCCCACAGTACTCATTAGATATATGGAGCTGTGGAGTACTTTTGAATGTAGTCAGTGCAACCAAAGAATGCAATTTAAAATTTTAATTAATGAAAATTTAGTCACATATGGCTCGGGGCTTCTATATTGGGCATATGTTGCTTCACAATGGAATAGATAATCTTGTACAGAGATATTTCATTCATGTAAGGGTATGACAATAGAATACATCCCAGAAATGAGAGTGGTAGGTCACACTGATAAATCGGTTAATAAAATGATTTAATCTTGCCAGATTGTCTCAGGTGGAGTCTGTACTATAGTCAGGGAGCCTAGTGGGTAGCTAACTCAAAGGTGGCATCTATCTGGTGGTTCAAGTCCACCAGCAGCTTTAAGGGAGAAAGATGGGAAGTCTTTTCCCAAACAACCTAAAGCCTATGAAAATGTGCTGGAGTGTTGGGTATGAATCAGTTCCCACTCAATGGGAATTTTTCAGACTGCCCACTTGACAGACTTTCATCAGCCAAGTGGGTCATGGTGCTTTTGGAATTCTAACAATCTGGTAAATGAAAGAGTGTATATTATCATTTATTTAGAAACCTTTTAATGTTAGAAAATCCCCTCCCCCAATTTTTCACTATGTTAATTCTATAATATACATACCCACATATAAATTCTTGACCAAATACCTAAGGATATACTCTGTTAAGAGGTCAAAAAGAATGCACATTTTTTAAAAAAGCAAAAAACGTTTAAGAAAACTTTGAAACATACAAGTGTGTATTTTTCTCATAAAAAGAAGCCAACATACTAGATCCTCAGGTACCAACCTCCAATAATTACCAACATTTTACCCATTCACTACCTGCCCTGAAATACAGTCTTGCGTTTTTTAAAAGCAAATCCCATATATATATCATAATTTTACCTGATATAGTATATATCTCTAACAGGTTATTTAAAAAAAATCTCCAGGTCTCAACTTCATATTTTTAAGTGCCTTAACATTTATTTGTACCAGAATCCAAGCAGATTCATACATTGCATTTGACCTGGGCATTTATTTCTAATTGTATATAGATTTATTTCATAAGGATCCATAAACTGGGATCAACTCAAAGACAATGGAGTTCTGTTTTATATCTTCTAGAATGACTCCTGCCTTTTATCTTTGATGCCATTTACTTGTTTGAGTTTAGTAAATTCTGCTATTTGTCCAACAGCAGTTCCTACCTTCTCTATTTGGGGGTGCTTTTCTTAATGCATTTCTATCCTTTAAATACACTATAAACTGGTAATCAGTCTTAAGTGTGATTAGACTTGGGTTCCTCTTTTTTGGGGTAGGGACACCTAGAATAAAAAATTCAAAGATGACAGTGTGCATTTCCTTTTGCGTCATGCCAGGAAATGCATGTCTGGTTGGTGTAGTTTTTGGGATTCTGACTGGTCAGTGGGTTTTCAGTTCAATCCATTCATATTAAAGTTTCTCATGAGTCACCTCATGAACCATGTCATGGCTTTGACTTTCTTTCAAGATCATTGCCTAGGTCAGTGTTGTTGATACCAGTCTTCAATGTGTGTGTGTGTGTGTGATTTGTAGAGGTTAAATCCAGGACAAGCGTAATTTACGTTGTTTTGAATGATTTTTAACATTTGATATACATCCCTATACTTTAAGATACTAAAATTTTTTGACCAGTATTTTTGTTAGTGATTTTCATTACAGTGGTATTTGGTGAAGCCTTTTACTTCTAGTCTTCATCTACCTCTTATTGCCTCTGCTTCATATACTCATGTTTGGCAGAGTGGAGGGGCAGCGAAGGAGAGGAAGACCTTCGATGAGATGGATCGATTCTGTGACTGGAGAGGTGGGAATGAGTGTGTTTGAGATGGCGAGGTTGGCACAGGATAGAATGGCGTTTGGAGCTCTTGTACATAGGGTCGCTATGAGTTACAAGCGACTCAGTGGCACATAACAACAACCACCTGTCTTTTGGTTTGTTCTATATTTTTAGTTTAGAACAAAATGTTGTTGATTTTTCCATGAGCAATATTTTTGTAGTATAGGGTTACATTACTTTTGGGTTTTTTTTCTTTTTTAATATTTCTGTACAAGCTATTAAATAGTCTACAGAGAGAATTAAGTTCTGTACTCTGTCCAAATTAAGGGACCAATAATTTTGGAAGGATCTCAGCAGAAAAGAAAACAGTTCACAATTTGCACAGATTTACAGCTTACAAAAGTTTATAGAATATTTGACCATTTTTACTCACAGCAAAGATGATGCTGACAAAAGTGAACAATCAGAATGTAAAAATGTGTGTAAACCTGTATGAATTGTTCTTACCATCTAATTGGGACAAAACCTGAGGACATACAAAGGCAATCATCTAGAGAAAAGTTCAGACAATATGGATACTATTACTAAACATGAAAAGAAAAGGTGGACCATGAGCAGCATGAACAACAAATGATTCTGCAATTAGCCCAGGTAAAGAGCCAACAACTGGAACACGCCCAAGTTTATTTCCATCACAGCTCTCCATCTCAGAAGATGAAGCTGTCCATCTTAAAAAGAAATAACTGTAGGACTTCCAACTCACTTGTCTTCCCTCTTGTGTGTTCAGATCATAAGGAAATGTTCTAAAGTGGCCCTCCTCCTCCTTAACAAGCGTTTGTGTCATTAGAAATCTTTAAGCGTTGGATTATGGATTCTCTGGACTTTCTACAATAATCTATTGAACTAGAATTTGAAGCATATTCAATAAATCCAACGTAATTATTTCCCAGCATTTTCACTTCCCTAGCAGTGGCAAACAATGCCTGCGCCCCCAGTGTGCTCTGTACATCACTGTTACCTGGTTCCCTCCGGGTCTACGCTGAGGTGATGTCAAAGGCATTGTGCCTGGAAGACTGCCATATGAGTAGATGCCATGGCTCCAGAGACAATATAACAGCTCTGTGGCCACCCTCTGTATGCGGAGGAACCAGTAACCAGTGCCCAGCCCCGCCCGCCCCCTGCACTGTTGTGCATTGGACACAGAGTACCACCTGAGTTCGAAGCCACACATCTTCCGAGGCGTGGCGGCGCTTTGGTTACTACTTTCCCTATGTGCCAACCCACAGTGAGCCCATGACACCACGAATGACAACTCTACATTTAACACAAAGAAACCTGTGCTGAGTTTTGCACAATCTTCACGCCTTTGTGCCTAAACCTACTGGTATAGCCACTGTGTCCATCCATCGTGTAGAGCGTCTTCCTCTACTAAACTGAGCCTCCACCTTCACAAGTACAATGAATGCCCTTTTCCAGGGACCAGACCCTCCTGACAACATGCTCCATAAACAATCAAGTACATCAGACAGTCTTATCATGCTTGCCTCGAAGAAGCACCCAAGCATGCCCCTCGTCTAAAGAACGTTTGTTCCCTGGGCTGTCCATGGCGTATTAATATTCTTCACCACACAATCCAAAGGCATCTTCCTTCTTTTACATTCATTATCCAGCCATATATATATATATATATATATAAAATCCAGCATATATATATACATATATAAAGCAACTGAAAATAACCTGGGTCAGACACACCTTAGTTTTTTAAAGTGACTTCTTTGCTTTTAAAGTACTTTAAAAAGGGAGCTCTGGTAACCTAGTGGCAAGAAGCTGCCCTACAATCCTGAAGGCGGGTGGTTCGAATACACCAGATGTTCCGCTGGAGAAGTGGCAATCTCCTCCTATGCCAGTTGGATCTGACTTGATGGTACACAACAACAACAACCGTACTTTAATGGGGTTCCTGGTACAGATTTGTCCAATATATCTGTATTTCCAGACTGCTACTTTCTTGAATGTTGTTACTGAAAACATTTTAACATTTCATGGAGGAGATTTCTATCTTTCTCCTTTGCAGCAGCTGGTGGATTCAAACTGCATGCCTTTGGGTTGGCAGTACAACTCATTACCTACTAAGTCACCAGAACTCCCTGTATTTATATAAGGACCAACTTTTAAAATGAGGAAGGGTTTTTTTATCTCCTATGGTGCTGGAAACTCTATGAACATTAGAGAAACGATGATAGTTATACAACAGAGTTCAGATCTTTTGTTCATAGGGTCTCTGAGTCATAATCAACTCTATGGCACTTAACAACAACTAAAAATGGTGTTGGAGCAAATTTTGATTCCTGGTGTCAAACTCATGGCCATTGTGTTAGTCCTGACTTGTGGTGATGCTCCACTGGGATCTTTACTAAGGGAGGAGACAGCCAGTGTTTCCCCTGTAGAGCAGGAGTATCAGAA